CCGTAATTTCATTCGGTCGTGTCTCTGCTTGGAGGTGTGGCGATACCCATGCGGAGGTTGGATGGGATTGCTGGGACGCTGCACAGACCGGTGACTGTGATGTCGAGAATCGTTTTCTTCTCCTCTAAAGCAGAGCATTTCTGCCCGTAATCGGGGACGTCATGGCCTGTGAATCTGAGGGGAATGAATGGGACATATCACCGTCAAGAAGCCCTACCGTTTCCACTCACTGCTGGCACTGCAACGATACTCGAAGAATCTGAGGGCACCAATGGTGCCCTCAGATGGTGCCGCACCATCGCTCCGTTTGAAGCGGATGCCTCGGTCGTTGGAAAGGAGGATCTCGCAAGAGTCATCGTGAGACCCACAGCCTTGTAGAGTGGCGATCAGCAATGAGGATGTTGCAATGATGATGAGGAGGAGAGGACGGAAGAGAGTCATTGAAGGGGGCTTGTCGGAGAACTAGGGGCGAAAGTTTAATCAGTTCGAAGTGGATAAGGAGACTTCGATAGCGATCGGTCGAGTAGCAGTGCTGAGAAACGGAGGTCGGAAGATGCGGACGCGTGGGTGGTGGTCGTCATGATTAAGGGCGAGCGAAATTTATTTTGTGCTGACGGAGCGTAGCAAGAAATGTTCTCCACTTTTCATGAATTTGAAATGACCATAAGGTCGACGGCAATAGGTTTTGAGTTGAGTTGAGTTGAGTTGAGTTGAGTTGATTATCATATCATGAATAGTTGCTGCTCTTGAAAATGATCAAATTCATTTTAATGGTCAACAAACAGGGTCAGACGCGACTCGCCAAATACGCGGACTTTCTAACGATAAAGTAACGGCGATTCTGGGCACATTACTGCTGTCTTTAATGGTGTCCATTTAGGGAGCGACAGGCTATTGAGAACGAGCTCATTCGGAAGTGTTTGTCGAGGAGTGAGAGCCAGTGTAGTTTTTTGGAGTATCGGAGTTACAAGGTAATAGTAGTAGCATTAGTAGTGGTAATAGTAGTGGTATTAGTAGTGGTAATAGTAGTGGTAATAGTAGTGGTAACAGTAGTGGTAATAGTAGTAGTAGTAGTAGTAGTACTGCTTCAAGTACTACTACTGTACTATAACTATACTGTGTTATGCCTTCCTACAGGTCATATACCGTCGATATGCATCTCTCTACTTCATCATGGGAGTTGACGGTTCCGATGAGGACAACGAGCTGGCCTATTTGGAATTCATACACATCCTTGTAGAGACTCTCGATAAGTAGTAACGGCAGGTTTACTCAGTTCTACTCCCTATAACACTTCAACCATCTCCCCTAGTCTATCATCCTCGTTATCGTAGTACTCTCCATTTCTCGTCTGCATCGAATTTTATGCGCACACGTGCCCAGTGTACCCGAAAGAGGAATTGCAAGGTTCGGTTCAGGTATTTCGAGAACGTCTGCGAACTTGATATTATGTTCAATTTGGAGAAGGCACATTTCATCCTGGATGAGATGCTTGCTAACGGCTGCATAGCGGAAACCAATAAGGCCAATGTAATATCTCAATACCACACCTCGTTGAAGTTCCCTTCGATTACAGGTACTAGCTCCTTTATATTTGCTCGACAAACACGGTGATGGTGCCCAATAGTGTTACTGTATAGTTGCGAACTCGTTTCTTCCCTTATTCATCCTCATAGTGTTGCGTTACTATGACTAGCAACAAACACAAATATCATAGAGGTTAACTTGGTAACCTAGAATGAATACCGATGCGGATGGTCGCGTCGCTCCGCTAGCAATTCGCACTGCAGAGAGGTAACTCTGAGGCGACCGTATATGGTGATATAGTCACTGGCAGAAGGAACTCCTGTACAATATGACAATCCCACCACTCCCGGGAGTAAGTATCGAAGAGGATGAAGACACGCACCATCGTCAGCACACTCACTGAGTATCACTCAGACTCTGTGTCCCTGAGTGTCTTTTCCTCATCGATACTTCTAAGGTCGATTCGTACCGAACCACCACCCCATCAGAAGTGAAATATTCAACTTCTAATTTCCTACTAACACTGAAGCCTTGATAGAGTTAAATACCAAATTGAAATCCAATTTTCACATTGAAACACTTTTTGTTAATCTATGTCCAACTTTAACCTCCCAACTCCCTCTTCTGAGGAAGACCTTCCCCCCTCATATCATCAACTCAATACTATGGTATCAGGAAATAGCCTTGCTACTTGCACGTGGTGCGAATAATGAAGACATAGTTATGATTAATTTCCATCACCCAGCCACCGGTCGATCAGAGCCGTTCGCGTCACCTGAGTGACAGCCATGACGACTTCCACTTCCACAATGTCTACTATTCCGGCGGCCTTGCTCCTCCGCGTCCCGCATGAGGTTCTTCCACCCCTGCCTCTCATCAGAATCGTTCACGTACACTCCCATATACTCCCCTACACCATAACATGTAG